TCCCAGCAGATAAACCCGGGCTGAGAGGGATACAACATCCCAGCAGATAAACCCGGGCTGAGAGGGATACAACATCCCAGCAGATAAACCCGGGCTGAGAGGGATACAACATCCCAGCAGACAGACCCGGGCTGAGAGGGATACAACATCCGAGCAGATAAACCCGGGCTGAGAGGGATACAACACCCCAGCAGACAGACCCGGGCTGAGAGGGATACAGTATCCCAGCAGACAGACCTGGGCTTGGAGGGATATTACCTAAGCATTTTGATACAACATCCCAACAGACAGACCCGGGCTGAGAGGGATACAACATCCCAGCAGACAGACCCGGGCTGAGAGGGATACAACACCCCAGCAGACAGACCCGGGCTGAGAGGGATACAGTATCCCAGCAGACAGACCTGGGCTTGGAGGGATATTACCTAAGCATTTTGATACAACATCCCAACAGACAGACCCGGGCTGAGAGGGATACAACATCCCAGCAGACAGACCCGGGCTAAGAGGGATACAACATCCCAGCAGATAGACCCGGGCTGAGAGGGATACAACATCCAGGCAGACAGATCCGGGCTGAGAGGGATACAAAATCCCAGCAGATAGACCCGGGTTGAGAGGGATACAGTATCCCAGCAGACAGACCTGGGCTGGGAGGGATATTACCAAAGCATTTTGATACAACATCCCAACAGACAGACCCGGGCTGAGAGGGATACAACATCCCAGCAGACAGACCCGGGCTGGAAGGGATACATCCCAGCAGACAGACTGAGATACTTGATGAAATAATTCTCCCCTCTCGAGAATCAAACTCGGGTCTCTTGAATGCGACGGCGAAGTGCCTTACCGCCACACCACAGGATACCTAAACTATTTCAAATAAATAATTATTTTGGTGACATTTTGAAATGCAGGTAACTAAACTGAGGGATGCAAGCTCGGGTTTAATTATGATCTGAAACACGAACATATAGAGGCCAAATTCCAAAAGTATATTTCGGAGGAGTAACATTCACAAAAGATGGTCCCAAATGTGAACTGTGCCGCAACATAGTCTTTGGTCTGGTGCTGATCGTACCATGGAAGGCAGGGGGAGGGGTGGGGTGGTGGATTAGGGGTGGGGGTGTTGTGGGTGTCCCGCCTGTATATATTTAAGAGCTCAAATCGTTATTACTGGACCTAACGACTTGAGGCTTTGCATGTAAGTTACTATTGGTGCAACAAAAAAAAATCATTTGAAGAAAAAAACCCAAACCAACAAAAAACAATCTCTCTCTCTCTCTCTCTCTCTCTCTCTCTCTCTCTCTTTCTCTCTCTCTCTCTCTCTCTCTCTCTCT